TTGTTTCAGAATTAGTGAGGCTTTTTGCGAAAGATCACCGAACGATTTACTGCCCTTCCATGCCTCCCTACCTCCCCCACCCCCTTTCCGCACCCCTTTCCTTGGTCTCACCTCTCTCATAAAATCAACAGTTATTTATTGACTCTGCAGTGAGAAACAGCACGATTTTTTGAAACTGATGCTTAGCTGTCTCAACTTTGCTTTCCAAGTAGTTTCACCCAAAATTACTCCCGCATTTTCTTCCTTTTTTTTTTAATATTTGGCATTAACAATTGAACAACATGAGGCAATAACGCAGAGTAACAAACTGCAGGACAATCAGTAGACTTTTTCGATTAACGCACTTTCGTTGCTTTCATCACGGGCTAGCATTATAATTTAAAATGAAGGAACTGTACATCTGAAACACTTTTTTTTCGTGCGTTGGATACGTCAAAAAAACAAGGTGACACGAGGTGCAGCACATTGTTTCATGCACACTTTTAAGTACTCGCACTGCGATTTACCGCTCTTTATTATTGTTGATATTATCCATTATGACTCTTTTGAACACCACCAGTAAATTCCAGTAAGTCATTTTTTAATGCCTTTTGCAAAAACGTATTTTGTCAAAAGGCTGTGTGTGTTTTCGAAAGTGAGTGCATTTTGTCATCCACTTTCATCTCAGCAACCAGAGAAACTGGGTATATGTTCCTATCCCTTTTGTCATCCACCTGTTTTAAGATTCCTCCTCACACGTGCCTAGATCCCGCGTACGGATTCCCGAAAAAGCAAATTTCTTTGGCAAGAAACGATTTTGCGAACCAGGCAACGCGGCTCTCACGTACATGCTCGCGAAAATTTTGTGGCGGGTAAATTGCAAACTTGGGAACCTGAAAAGCTAGAAGGCTGAAATTTTAAGGGGAGCCCCCACATGTGCGTGGCTCTTATGTACGGTCCTGTACAAATTTTTGGCGGATAAATTGGCAACTCCGGGACCACAGAAACTAGAAATCTGAAGTTTTAGGGGAATGTTTCCGAAAGTCGTGGTGGCCATTCTCAATTTTTTTTAGCCAGGAGCACCTACTGGAAAAAATAGTGCCATTAGCGACAAAAACCTGTGGGGAACCGTAAAAAAAACGCATATTCGCACCGGCAGTCGGTGCGTTGGCCAATTTCA